AAACAAAGGAGGGGGTAACAATGCTTGATAGGAAATTGACTCATTACCTTACTCATGTAGCTGTAACATCTCTGTACAGTGTCTTTACAATAAATTTTTTTTAAAGTTGGTTGCTTGAGTATAGAGTGATCAATTATAACATCATAAGTCTGATTCTGGTGTGAATTAAGAAAGGCTTGATTGGGTTGGGAAGGTGGCTCAGTGGTAGAGTGCTTGTCTTGCATGCATGAGGCCCTGGGTTTGATTCCTCAGTACCACATAAGCAGAAGAAGCCAGATGTGGTGCTATGGCTCAAGTGGTAGAGCGCTAGCTTTGAGATGAAGAGCTGAGGGACAGTGCCCAGGCCCAGAGTTCAGGCCCCACAACCGACAAAAAAAAAAAAAAAAGGCTTGATTGAAGTATTTTATTAGATTTCTATGCCTACAATAAAGTGGCAAAAAATAATTTACTTATCTTATAAGCTCACAGGCCAGTGCTTAATCTTGACTCAACTAGGCAGTTTCCTTTGTTTCTTTGAACTCATTCATGCATCTAGCTTGAAAATGGAGCAATGCAGCCCCTGGAACTGCCCCTCATATCATATTCCTAGTGTGTTCTCATGAAAAGTCAGAGGAGGAGAGACAGGGCAAGAAGAAAACACATGGCTTTATGAAGTCTCCATTAGGAGCTAGAACACTGTTTACCCTATTATATTAACTGGCTAGAAGAAAGCTAGGAATAGGAAATAGACTTCTACTGTGAGAGGTTGCAAGTGATAATGAATGAAGTCTATTCATACTATTCATTCATCAACCTCTAGGCTCCAAAGATTCTATTCCTAAGTTTTCATATGATTGTCCATGTGATTGAGAACCAAGGTAATGCTGGCCATGATGGTCTAAGACAGTGAGACATGATTGTTGGTTATTCTCACTCAAGAGTAGGGCGAGATAGACAGTTCCTCTTTTAGCTTTATAGTGGTGACAGAAAATGATCAGGACCAGCGATCATGCCATCATGATAGATATGAATAATGATTTTTTTCCATTTTTGTCCCTGATTATTTGAATAATAAAGTAGTTATTAACTATAATTAAAATTAAACATTATGAAGATACCTTGATATTACCAAATGGACATGTTAAAGAAGAAAAAGAATTAAAAATTGTGTTTACTCTCCCTTTGAGGAGGCTTGTAATGTCAGTATTATTTTTCAAAATGCATTTATTAAGTACCCTTCATGTATCAAATTGCTCCCATCCTAAGGATATGAAATCAAATTAGGGAAGAGAGTTATCAGTGGCCCAGATTAAGTAGGCACTGGGAATTTCCAGGGACTGCTTTTAACAAACTCTTTGAGTTTGTTAGCATTTCCTTTCCCTGTTAGCACATGTTGTCTCCCAGTTATAGTGAATGCCTCAAGGGTGAGCATCTCACATGGGATAGGCCAATAAACCGTCCTGTGTGCTTTCTTCCTCTCCATCTTATCTTGGCTGGTCTCTGGTTGGATTCAGAATTACCAGTGGATAATCCTCTCTCATTGAGACAGCTGTTTGCAGAAGGAAAAATGGAATCTGTGCTTAAGGTGAGGTGGAAATGAGAACTGGATAAATGAATATCCTTAAAGACTTGGGCTCTCTGAATTCACATAGTTTTCAAGGCCAGCTCTGTATCTGAGTTTTGTGTTGCTTGACTGAATCAACCAAAAAATTAAAATAAAAAAAAATTCTAGTTTGGGTTGATATGCTTTCACTTGTAAGTCAAAGGCCCTATTAAGGAACTATCGCTTAATAAATATGTACATATTTATTATCATAGATTGAACAGGAGATAATCATCTTTTTATAGAATTAGATCTGACAGAATATCTAATAAATGATGACAGTGATGATATCATCATTTGATGCTGATAAGGAAATGAACGAGGCAGAGGAGGTAGAAGAGTATAGGAGCAAAGCATTAAGAATAATCTAACCAACATCTACTGTTTTATAATTTGTGCCTGCCATTTCTTCGGTTACTTGTAGCTCATGTATCCATCCTTACAACACCCCTTTGAGATATGCACTATTTTTTAATCTCACATTTATTGAGTATGAAGCTGATACACTGGGTAAAGTACCTTTCTTAGAACCACATGTTTAATACATGACAGAAATAAATCTATATTCAGTTTAGTAGGCTCTCAAAAAGTACTTGTTGATGGAAGGAAAGAATGAGGGTCATGAGGACAACTAGTTATATTGTAACGTATATTAGAAAAATGTAACAGTTAAGCTTCAAAATGTCATCATAAGGCTTTCTCTAAAGTATCCTTGCCTGGTGGGGGCTGATGGCTCGCATCCATAATCATAATTACTCAGAATGATGAGATCTGAGGATCTGAATTTGAAGCCAGCTTGGGTGAAAAAAAGCCATTAGTTGCTTATTTCTAATTAATGAACAAAAAACTGGAAGGGAAAGTGTGGCTCAAGTGATTGAGTTCAAGCTTCAGTACAGGCATATGTACACACACATACACACACACACACACATACACACAGAGGATTTTATTACCATTTGTAAACGTGGAACTTAAGAGACTTTATTAATAGAGTCTCTTTAGGCTACCACACAGCTGGAACATTGTGGAGCAGAGTTATGTATATCCGAGTTTACCCTAAGATGTTTGATTACCTCTGTATAAGATGTGCCTTTAAGTATAGAATAGCTTTACAAGAAATTGTACTTTGGCTAACTTAGCTCCTTTTAAAGCTTTCCCTCCCCTAAATTTCTATAATGATTTCTCTCTTTTTTTTTTTCTTCTCTTGCATCACTAACTTACTTGAATGGTAGATTCTTTTCAAATGCATGATTTCAATTTCTTGCAGGATCTTCACCAAAGATGGTGCATTTAAGCATGATCACAGACTTCTTCCCATTTCATACCAGATTCCACAAAAATTCCCATTCATATTTTTTGAAAACTATTGTTATTGTTTGTTTTCCTCAATACATTGGAACATAGGTCATTTCTGACCAATAATGAACTATGACAAGCTAATAGGATTCTACATTCCAGAAGATTCTCTTCTCATAAAGTTCACAATAGTCTCTTTTAAGTTCAAGGAAACAAATCACTACAATGATGAGGGCACATTAGAAAAGCAATGCACCAACCAGCTATTTATGCAGTTGATCTTTTTAGCTGCTACTGCTCTCCCTGGCTCATTAGATTCTTGTTGGACTTGTGTGGTTGAAGGATCAAGGTTCTGTGTGGATGGCTTATTTTAGCTAGCTACCTGGTTCTTTCTTGGTTTAGCCATTATTTTTTATTGGTATCTTACTCATTCACTAACTCACTTTGTGAATTCTAACAGTGCAGTACTTCTTGAATACAAAAATCTGTTGTCTCTACCAGATATTTCATTTCTAATACAATATGTAAACAGTATGTATTTTTTGGCTTCTTTAACAGTGCTATTACAAATTACAGCTTGCCTTTCTGATTCTTTTCCTCAAACAAATCTTTGAAAAATAAATCAGTGTACTATTTCCAAAGCTTACATCATACAACACTGACATTTGAATCATTGCAAAAATGTGTTTTGGGCATATTTCCAATGTCTCTTTAGTCAAAGTTTCATAAGCTAATCCCTATATGGGCAATCACTAACTTCTTTACATCTTTTTCTGTTTATCACTACATTTCTTAAAGTTCTGTTGTATGTTCTTTCATATCAAATGGAAGAAAGGGATAAATATGTGTTTTAACATGTAAAAGTATTCAGTCTTGACTGCATGAGGTTCTTTCTTTGGTTCTTCACTGTCTTAGACACAAGATAGCCCCTGATGGAATTTTTCTCCTCATATTTATTACTGTATTTTCCACTTAAGAACTAATGTATCTCTTCTTGGGTGTTTCTAATTCTCTTTCTGACTTTTATAATTGGTATAAATTGTTTATCCTGGTTTTTGTTCATTTTCACTCCATTTCATATGCTACTCCTCTTATCATTTGATGTATACATCTTTAGTAGCTTTTTTTTCGGCTTTTCCTAATTCTGTTCAGTATTTTATTGTCATTACTTAAGTGTATTCTTGTTTATTTCTACTGTAGTGGTTTTCTCCCTCCCTCCCTTCTTCATCTCTCCCTTCTTTCCTTCCTTTCCCCTCTCTTTCTCTTTCTTTTTCCCTTTCCTTTTTAGGAACCAGTGTTTGTCCTCAGGGGACTAACTCAGCTTTGTTGCTTATGGCTGGTGCTCTACCACTCAAGCCATGCCTTCAGGCCCAGCTTCCCTCCCCCCCTGGGGGGGGGCGTTGAATTCAGGGTCTGGGCTCTGTTTCTGAGTCTCTTTGTGCTCAAGGCAAAAACCAAAACAAAACAAAATGAAACAAAACAAAGCTCTTTGTGCTCAAGGTAAAAACAAAACAAAACAAAACAAAAACCCCAAAACCCACTTGGGCCACAGTGCCACTTCCAGCTTTTTCTGAGTAGTTTATGGGAAATAAGAGTCTCATAGACTTTCCTGCCTGGGCTGGGCTTGAGCCACGACGCTCAGATCTCAGCAGCTAGGACTACAAGTATGATCCCACTGGGACCCTGCTTCAGGCTCAGCTTTTCACAGGTTATTGGAGATAAAGTCTTGCTGACTTCTCTGCCTTGGATGGCTTCGAACTTCAATCCTTTGGATGTGAGGCTTCTGAGTAGCTAAGATTACAGGTGTGAGCCTCCCGTGTCCAGATTCTGGTTCTCTATAGAGCTAACATAGTATACAGTAAAGACACAAAGCATTCCCCATTCTTCATTAGGTATTGTACATAAATAAGCTAAAGGACAATGGCCTGGGGTATATTGCAGATGTCAGAGCCAGGTCTAAAGACCATAAGAGTCTAGGCCCAGCTCTTGGTCCAATCTATCTTTTCTGTACCAATGATCTCTATCCTGTGAAAGGATGAATCATGATATTTTAAGCCTTGATTTTAATTTATTTCATCATTGCATGAATTCATAACACTAACGTTCAATCTAATACTTAGCAAGATATTAAATGTTGACTTCAGGGTTTTCCATTTGAAGTATTATGTCCCATATTATACTTATCTGATGGCCATAAACCCAAGTACACCGAGCCAGAACTGACTCAATAAATTTCTCCAAAGTAGACAAAAGATGTGCATAACCCTAAAGTATCTTTTGGAACAAATGGCTTCCCACAACTGTTTTTTAGTGTTCGAAAATTTCGTCATGCTGGGAATCATATTACTCCCATCATGATATATTTTATCCTTACTCTGATCAGAGTGCTCCTAATGTTATCCTCTTACCCCCCAAATCATCTGATTCTAAAGAAAACTTGAAAAGGTATCATTGAACTCTGATGGAATTAGAAACCCCTGATTTGTTCCCAAAGCCTCAGATAATTTCAAAAGTAACATATGTGGTTGATAAAACTACATGAAAGAAAAAGCACTGGTTATTTTGGTTAGTGAGTTCTAGAAATAGCATTAATGATAACTTTTCATTTAACAAGGAGTTATAATTTCTACATAAGAAGATATAATCCAAAGTAGGATTATTTGGGGCAGCAAGCTTCTACTTTTGTGAACATGTAGTATCACATGAAACCAGGGGAACAAAACAGAATTGATATAATTTTAGGCAGCTAATTCCTTAATGTATTCCTGATGTTCAACTTTCAGAAAAATCTTTAGATTGTCTGATTATCTTTCTCTAGGGGTTGAATCTTTATGATAACAACAATTTAAAAACATTTTTTTCCTTTTCTCTTGAGCCTCTGCAAAGTACTTTTTGACAAGTACTTTAACAATTTTTCAAATTAACTTTAGTCTTTGGATATAAAAAATAAGTGATAAATGAAATGTTTGAAGTTGTAGACTTTGTGATAATTGAAGAAACTGTCCCATGTTACTGGAAGAAACCTGTGTTTCTGGATTGTCATTAGCTCCATAGTATCTCAGCTCCTGGCTTTTTTTCTAAGTTGCTATAGGTTCAGCATACATTGTTGCAAGTACAAAAATTAAATATGCCTTGCTAAACCTAAGTTGTGTGGCTTATAGCGGCCATAAGCAGCCATTGTCTACATTAATGAATGTAGACAAATGAATTATAGGGTTTTTTTAAATGTATATAAGGAAGAGTTTCTTCTGTTACCAAGAATCTTCAGTTAGCAGGAGACTCTACTTTATGTGGACAATCTTGGCAGAAATGTGCACCAATCTAGACCTAAATCCTACTCCCTAGATTTCTAGATAGCCTTCTTACTCTGTGAAGTAGGGAACTGTCCAAAGTGAATAAGCATTAATTTGCCTTTGTAGTCTTGTACTTGGATTGCTCATTTTCTGAATCATTGCTTATCTTTTCAGATACAAAGACTGTTGATGAACTCTAAAATACATTTGTATAAAAGTCAAACTTATACAACAAGCATTTTTTTTTACTACCAAAGACATAGGCTTTCTTAAAAACATTATTTAAATTAAATAGTGCATTCCAGAATACTGTTGTAGGCCTATTGGTATCTGTTCAATTTGCATATCCCATAACTATTCTTTAAGAAACAAAACATCACATCTGCCATGATATCTCCAGGAAAATTATTTTTGTGAGTGTTGAAATGGATATGCATTTAACCTTGTCTTTGTGTATGTTTATGGATTAAATGTAATGTAGCATTAGGAAATAAAACCCCTTATGATTTTTTTCTAAAACTTCATACAGTATGATACCAAACTTAATATCCTAATTGCAAACTAACAAGAGATGCTTTTACAATTACTTCAATGTTTGTAAGGTTATGACTCATGAACAAATTACTTTCATGGTTGGGTTGCGTTTATACAAGACAGGGTGTGAATTTTAAAAATGGATCAACAAGATGGGACAGATTTAGGTGTGGACATATTTACGTAATATGTTTAAATATGGTCATAGAAAAGCAGAAAAACAAATATCTTCTCTGGCATGTTAAATACTTAAAGAAGAATTTATGCACTATTGTATTAATAAACATTTATGGAGATTGAATGAAAATTGGCACTGGATAAGCTTTTGGCAAAAAAAAAAACCCTTCAGTAAAGCTAGTGACATCTTAAATCCTTAAGAGCATACAGAATAATGCAACTTGCAAATCCATTTACAACAGATTGTAGGCTTTTCCACAGTGGCGAATGGAATTAAACCAATAGTGGTAATTGTGATTTTATGAAAAAACAGGAGCTAGCCATACTTAAGGAATTTGAATGGCAGATTATTGGGTTTCCACACCTATAATGTGCCTCACCCACAGGCGATGTTCTCATTCACTCTGGTAATTAGCAAGCTGTCCTGTCCTATGTTGTTTTGTCCTTTCAAAAATACAGCCCTGTTATTGTTCTATATTGAGTTCTGTCTCCTGTTACAAGATTTTGAGAATAGAAACACCATGAATGCAATTTTTAAATACAGTAGCCTCTGTTAATGACTGACAATGAACAATAAGTTTTTTTTTATTTTACTTTTTGTGGTTTTCTTCTCTCTCTCTCTCCCTTCCCTCTTGTTTTTCCCCTTAGTCACTATTTTTGATTTCTGTACCTTTTGTCTTGTATGTAAGTTCGTCTGATTTTGGGAGGGGGAGGGGAAGCACAGAAGTAGTGGGACAAAGGGTGAACTAATTCAGCAGTGATAATCACTAGACATTATGTTGGAAATGACCTATACAATTTGGGGGGGAAGGAGGGTCTAGATGAAAAAAAAACCTGGGAGACAATGATGAAAGGGGTGGCACTGTTCAAAAGGAAATGTACTCAATAACTGTAACCCCCTCTGTTAGTCATCTGCACGATAGAATTTTTTTAAAAAAACACATCAGGCTGACATGATCTTAAGTACCTTTACACAGAAATGTTTAGCAGGTTCAGAACCCTCAGCCTTCTCCATGGTTTCAAAAACAACCAAGTGTCTCTTAACTGACTATGCCCACGGGTAGAGCCAACCTGTTCATAGGCAATCTCTGAGCAAGTTGAGAATTGTGCAGTAAATAAATAGAACACTATGAATTACCATTTATATTACAACTAAATTGGTCTTATTAAGAGATTAACTGTAGGACAAAGGATAGCTCCTAGAAGCTTAAGAACTCTCTTTTTAAATATATCTCTAAGGAGTACATACAACTAACAAGATATTTGGGTTAGGGCTGGAGATGGGGCATTATAGAACCAGGGAAAAGAGCTCTGATGAACCATATAGACTTCTACCAGAGTGAATATTTCTCCTCTCTCTCTTTCTCTCTCTCCTCTCTCTGTGTGTTTCTCTGTCCCTCCATCTCTGACTCTCCTACCTTTCCTCTCTCCCTCAATGTCCCTCTTTTCTCTCTCTCTCCCTCTCTGTTTCCCCTGTCCATCTCCCTCTTTTTTCTCTCCCTATCTCCTTTTAACAGTATTCTTTATCTACTCAATAACCCCATCCCTTTCTCATTCTCTCCCTCTCTCTTCCCCTCCCCCTCTCTACCTCACTTCTTTCTGTCTCTTTTTTCTCTGTCCTTGTTCTTCCACCCCCTCTATATCCAAAATGTATATTCATATTTTATATTTTTGTCAATATCCATGTTTGTAATTGTCATTTTGATTTATATTTTTCAGTGCTGAGATGGGACCTAGGGCCTCACTCATACCAGATGAGCACTCTGCACTCAATTGCTTTCCTTGCCCATTGGTATTTTTATTTATGTATTTTTTTCCATTAGTACTTTTAAAACAGGCCTCACACAATGTATTGTATTGTATTTCACTTTTCTTGTTTCCTTTTTTCTCTCCCCCAATCACTAATAACCAGGAGACTGAGTTTAATTGTTTGTTACCCTAGATCGGAATTCCACCTTTGTGAGAGGTAGTTGACAGCATCTTTCCAGAGATTTTATAGAGAATGGCTTTCTCAGAAGTATTTAACAAAGGATCTTGAAACAAACTCTATCCTAATGTCCCTGGCATTTTTGTGCTCTTCCTAGAGACAATTATTCCTCTTCCTTCTTCAGTTCATGCAGTTCATAGCTTTTTGTTTTGTTGTTTGTTGTTTTGAGACAGGGCTTTTTAGCCAGGCTGGTATCAAACATGACATCCTCTTGCCTCAGGATTTCAAGTATTAGGATTGCTGGTGAACATCACCATATCTGGCTTTATCACTTCTTTCAGAAGTCTAAAGGGCAGAAAAATGTCAATGTTCTAGCTGCAAAATGGTAAAGTTATCCCAAAGACTAATTCTGCAGTAAAGTTTCTCAGAATGCTTGGAGATTTCTTACAGGATACACATTTTCCTGGTGATTACTGAGCATTATCTACAAAATCCATTAGAAAGCTGGGCACTGGTGGTTTATTCCTGTAATCCTACCTACTCTGGAGGCTGATATCTAAGGATTGCAGTTCAAAGCCAGGTTGGGCAGTAAAGTCCATGAGACTCTTATCTCCAATAACCACCAGAAAACTGGAAGTGGTGCTGTGGCTCAAAGTAGTAGAGCACTAGTCTTCAGCAAAAAAAAGTTCACGGACAGCACCCAGACCCTGAGTTCAAGCCCCACCACTGACAAAACAAACAAACAAACAAACAAATAAATAAAATCCCTTAGAATTTCTTTTGGTGGCAATAATTACACAACTTATACCTACTTCTTATATTCTTCCAAGTAACTTTACAGGCATTGTACTGCCAAACTGTGTGAAGTAAAAGAGCTCAAACTGAAGAACTCAGTTAGAACTTAGAGTCCTAATAGATTTTTCATATTTCCTATGTCAAGTATATGGCAAACACAAAGAGCCTAATTAATTTCCTTTCTTGCTATTGTTTTTATTATTTTATTTTAATTTTTTATTGTGAAAATGCTATACAGAGGGGTTACAATTACATGGGCAAGATAATGAGTACATTTCTTATCAAGCATTGTTGCCTTCTCCTTTGTCCCCCCCCCCCCCCCCCCCCCCCCCCCCCCCCCCGCCAAAGTTGTAAAGTTTGTTTTTCAACATAACGACTTGTACATCTGTACATCTCATTGTTGCAATGGGTCCACCTGTATCCCTATTTAAACGGTTTGTTTTTGCCCTTCCCCTCCACAAATTATACCAACATCAAATACAGGGAAAGCAGAGGTTATACTGTGGGGGAGGGACATACAAAGCAACAAAGAAATCATCTTTTAATTTCCTTTCTTGCAGTGGATGTTGTAAAAAAAAATTTCATTGCTTTCCTTATATCAGGGCTGATCTCCTCTAATGATTCTTCAATGTACCTTATAATAGTATAGATATCATTATATTCTTCTTCCAGTTAAGCTTCCTGCAGAGATTCCTGGCTTTTCGTAAGAAAGACAAGGTTCTTACCGAGTTCTAGAGTCCTACGTAGTCAAGGTCCAACCTTCCTCAACAAGTCTCATGGCTGGTAATGCTCTCTCTGAGCTATGATCTCAGTTTTGTCTTCTAATATTTTCTTCCTGTCTTCCTCAAAACCTAACACATGTTCCTCCACTGTCGAGAGTACTTCTTAACACATCGCTACCCATAGTTTCACATCCTGGTAACTCTTATTAATCTCTTACTTCTGCGGTCTTCATTTGAGAATCTTTCAATGACCTCAGTTTGCAGCTTATGGATAGATATGATAGCCAATTATCTTATCTCGGTGCAATACAGTCCATTAGCAAGTGCATTGTCATGTTGCTCTCTGCTTACCTTTTAAAACAATGAATGTAAGCTCCTAGTGAACATAAACTATATATATGTATATATATATATCTTTTCTATTTTATACTATTATTATAGAGAATTGAATTTAATAGGTACACAATAAATGCTTATCACTCCCAGAAGGAAGTATATACATAATACCAAGGAACAATACCTTTAATTAGTTATTTTTTTAAAAAATTAATTTTAATAATTTTTTAATTTTAAAGGGTTTTTTCTTTCTTTTTTTTATTGTCAAGATGATGTAGAGGGATTTCAAGTACATAAGTAAGGTAATGAGTACATTTCTTGTCAGCCTTTTTACTGCTTCCCTTAATTTTCTCCCACTTTCCCTTACTACCCAAGCCCTCCCCCAAGTTGTACAGATCATTTCCAACATATTGTCTTGTGTATATTGATGTTGGACAACCTACAAATTCAATTTTTGTCTTTTGGTTCACAAAATATGAACAAAACCTCTCATATTAATAGTGTGATCCTGGAAACTTTGGTCTTTTCCCCTTAATCTTATGTGATCATGGACACATTAAGGGCCTTGTTTTTCTTAAGAAAACCAGGAATCTCTACAAAGCACTGCCTAGTTTTCTACAGTTCATGTAGTCATTCACTTACTGGTGGCATTTATGTTATTTACATTCTATGTTCTTATAAACATATTACAGAAAAAGACTTGATTTTGTATTTTGTGCATGAAAATGCCAGAATATTAATGGGTAGAAAAGAATGGTTTTGGTTTGATGTCTCACTATATTGACCAGTCTGGCTTGTATTCACCATCCTTATCTTTCAGCCTCCTTGGGAATCTACCACCATATCTAGATTATAATAGTTTTTTTTCCCCTAAAATATAACTACTGCCAAATTTCTATTCCATGTAATCTCTAGTGATTTATACTTTAATCAAAAATACATAAGAAAATGAATTACAAACCTTCATTGAACTTGATACTTTAATCTAAAATCTAAAATATATACTTTAATAAAATCTAAAATATATTTTTCAATGTAATTCATGAAAAATGGTCTGGTTTTTATTTATATATCATTTAGTATTAGTTAATATGCTCTCAGGAGTTCATTGGGATTTATATTTCTTGTGCATTTTGATGGGATTTTTCAAGATTTTCTTACAGAATTATAGGAGTTATTTGGGTATTCTCAGCACTACATATTAAAATTCTTTTCTCCTATGATTTAGTTTTATAAAAATAACTTTGTAATGTCCTTGTATGTAAAAATTTCTTAATATGGCAATGTGTATAATTTGCCTTTTTTCTTTTTGCATGGCTCTATTGCACTAATACTAGTAGACTCTTTGATTCTAAAGTTATAAATACATTATCATGTATCATTTATTATTATTATAATTATTATTCTGAAGTGCTTTAAAATATTTTTCTTTTTAATCTGGAATATAAAATAAGTAGATCCTATGTATGTTTTAAAAAAGTCCTTCAGTTTTTAAAGTTTGTTTGGTCAGCTCCTATTTTTAGTAGATTTGTGAAATAGCAAATTCAAAGAATTTAGTATTATATCATGAATGATTTCATTGCAGTTCAAATATGAGTGTCAGCTCATGTTACATGTAAACTTAGAGTTTTCTAGACTTGTCAATTTTATGTAGGTATCTTTCTGTTTCAGTAGCATATTTATAATTATGTTTGGTACAAATATTCATTTGTACAAATATTCATTTTATTCTTTATAGACATTTACTTAGAAAATAAATTTTAAAAGCCATTTTTATTTTAAAGATTTTTAAATAGCTCAAAACCCAGCCTTGTAGGCAAATAAAATGGGGTTGGCCATGGAATAACCTTGTAGCTCTTCAGGTTTCCATTGTCCTGGCCACTGAAGAATAAGCAGGCTGGGCTGGGAAGGGACAGGAAGGGAAACAAAGGAGGAGGCTACAATGCTTGATAAGAAATGTACTCATTATCTTGCCCATGTAATTGTAACTCCTCTGTACAGTATTTTCACAATAAAAAAAAAAAAAGAATAAGCAGGCTGGAGGAGGTGATTTCCAGAGAGGAAGTAGAAAGGATCGTTAATGGAATTAAGAGCAGAAGTGGTAATGAGAGCTTATGACAGGGACAAGAACAGGATATATTTGACAATGGGATCTTTACAAACAAGTACAGCAAAGATTGGTTATGATTAATCACAATTGCTAATGACAAAGTTTCTATGGCAAGTCTCTGCCTTCGTGGACCTTCATTCCTTCACTTATAAAGCAATAACTATCAGTCTACTTTTCAAGAGGTATTATAGTATTCCGGGGTGAGAAGTGAGTTGTGACAGAAGGATTTTTCTCTGTGAATGACATTAGGGATTATTAATCTTCCAGCCTTGTTTTATACTTAAGACTCAGAAAGGTTAAGTGACTGGCTTTCAGGTCACACCATTAGTGGTAAAGCTAGAACTACAGGTTTCCCTTTTCATTTCCCTTTCTATACTCCCTCTAGCTCCTATGTGCAATAAAGTATGAACTCAGTCCTTAATGGTAATAGCAGATGTCAGGAGCTCCTTCCTCACATCTCAGAAAAGATTACTGTGAAGAAACGTCTTCCTTGGGTCCCAAATTTAAGAGGCATCTTTGATTCTTCTTTCTCTTGTTATACATCTCTAGTCTTTTATCCAATCCAAACAGTTGTCTATCCAATAAATACTCAAAATCTCTTTTTTTCCTCACTATTTACCCTGTCAAAATCACCACCATCATCTCTTGCCTGTGCTACTCTAAGAATCTTAGATGCTTTGCTTCTGCTGTTCCCCTTATTTCATTTGTCACCCAACACCTGGGGTAGGATACAGCTCTATCTCTATCTTCCTATTGTATGTCTATCTATATATTTATCCTATATATGCCTATCTGTCTGTCTGTCAATCTACCTACAGGCATTCATCTGCACATAATATATAATATAGCTTAAAGCAACTCAACCACTCTCTTGCTTAAATTCTCCAATGGCTTCCTATTTGACTTCTTTTATAAGCCATGATCCTCACTATGGACAAGGCCCTTCGTGATCTGTTCTTTGGTCTTGACTGTATCGCTAACCCACCCACATTTCAGTATGGTACAGACCTCCTGGACCCTTCTGTACCTTTGATTGTCCTGCATGTTCCTTCTTCTGACCATGGTCATGAGCTTTCTTAGCTTAGCATGGTCTTTATCTTCATATGGTGTCTGCTTTCTCATCATGCAGCAGTTCTCAGCTCAGTTACAGTTGCGTTTTAGTTTTTTGTTTTTCCCCAGAACAATTCTCCTACTAGGTAGTGCTTAGCTAATTATTTATAGTACTCACTGTGATTCAGACTTACCTATTTTAATAATAGTGATTACCATCTGCTTTGTATGCTTAAATGTAAGTTTCTCAAGACAGAATCTTTGACTTGTTTATTTATTTAAATTTAATTGCTTCAAAGAGTTCCTGCCACATAGTTAATTGCTGAGCTTTGAAGACAAGGAGATAAAGGCCTATTTTCACAATAATTTACACCAAGATTTTCAAAGTCAAATATAGCTACATGTAATGAGAAAGTTATTTAACTTTTAAAATTTTAACCTTTTAGCAGGTGCTAGTGGCTTACAGGTATATTCCTGGCTACTTAGTGGGCTGAGCTCTGAAGGATTGCATTTCAAAGCAAGCCTTTGCAGAAGCATCTATCAAACTCAACCTCCAATTAACCAGCAAAATGTCAGACTGGAGGTGCAGCTCAAAGAGTAGAGTACCAACTGCAAACAAGAAAGCTTAGGAAGCGCACAAGGCCCCAAGTTCAAGTTCCCGATAACGAACAAATTTTTTCATTTTTACAATAGTCATACCAATATTAATACTACTAAGAAATAATTGAATTGGCTTCATCTAAATTATTGTCTGAACATTTACCAGAAGAATGCATGTAAAATGCTTGAGTTAATGCCAGGTAATCAGTATGTTCTCAAAGACAGTTAAAAGAAAAAACAAGGGGGAAGAAGTAGGATAAAGGCTAAATTGGGCATCAACCTATAAATCTGATGTTTTTGAACCTTTTCACATTTTTCTTTACTGTTTTAGCTTAAGGAGAGGGAAGGATTTTTTTGGATGTATATGAGAATATGAAAGTAAACTTAGCTTCACTGGACACCAAACTAACTTTTGCTCTTGTTTTGATCTACCTCTTTTCTTTCATTTGTATGAAGAAATTCAGAAAGGCAGAAGGAAGGGAGCTCAAGAAACAGAACACATTAGAATTCCCTTTTATAATCTACCATATGGTTAAGTGTCTACTCTTAATGGAATTTACCAACTGTACACAGTTTAGTCTACCCTCATCAGGCAATTAGCCAGATTATAAGCCACAAACCTGAGTTGGAGACAAAAAGATGGTACATTTGTTAGTTAAAGACTCATGTTTGTGTCTTTGTAGTATGCAGGACTTAAGTTTATCTAAATTTATAGACAAGCTTTTCCTACCAAGCAAATAATCTCGGACTGTTTACAAACAATTGTAATTGCAAGTCTTATTTGATTCGTTCATGAAGACAAACAGGAAAGGAAAGAATTAAAATTCTTAAAACTCTGGAATAAACAGTTAAGCAATGATGCAGAACAGTGCAGCCAGGTGCTCCCCAACCTACCCATATTTTTTTTTCTTTTCTCTTCCTGGACATAAATCACAGGAAATTTAGTCAAGTTAGCAGGAATTGTTCTTGTTCAAAAGTTATTTAAAACTAGGGTGGAAAACTATACAAAATATTTTCCCCATGTAACAGAATAAACTAAAAACATCCAAGTTTCAGTCACCCCTTCGGCTATTTGTGACAACCTTTATTGGAGTATAACTGGGGACATGGGAAAATGGCTTCCATGTGGGGATGGAAGGAGAGAATTAATTTGGAATGTCTGACTTTAAAAATCCAAAAGAAGACATCTACTACATTACTAACTTCAGCCAGATTCCAGAAAATGTAAATCGTATCTAATTGATCTTTTCATATGTTTCACAAAGCATTTAAAATTTATTCATTTATATTTTAGACATGGTTAGTATGAAGGTGATATACAGAGGAGTTACAATTACATAAGTCAGGTAAAGAGAATCTTTCTTTATAGATAATGTCATCCCTTCCTTTGCCCTCTTCCAGTTTTTCCCTCCCATCCCTACCTACAAGTTGTATAGTTCATTTGCAATCGATCTTAATGATCTATTATCCTATGAGCCACAAAGGCAGTTACACTTTTAGCTTGACATAGAGTTGGGTAATCTGCTTTTACCTAATTTCAGATTTCTCTGCTTGCTTTTCCTAAATTCTGCTGTGTTTTTTTTTTTTTTTTGGTGTTCCATGCTTTTTTGCCTGAGCCCTTGGGGCAGGTTTTAAGACAGAGTGGGATTTTATTTCTCAGCTTACCTCCTTTCAAAGAGGATTTTCAGGGCAGGTATATTTTACCCTCTAAATGGAACTTATCTAACGCCCACTGTGGGTGATGTGAAGATTCATGAGCTAAACAGGAAGTGTTCGGAAAGGTTCCTAGCACATAGAAAGTATCGTGTGTGTACCTTAAAAAAAAGCCATTGTTCTTTCTAGTAAAAGATTTGATTCAGTTTTATTGATATTTGTCCAGATTTCTCTTCATTAACTGGGTTTGTAACAGTCTTCTTGAAGAGGTTCTTTTTTTTTTTTGAAGAGGTTCTTATCCTTATATTCTGCCAACTGCTTCTACTAATTGCTTATTGCTCAAGAGATAGTTTCTGTAATGAATACTGTACAAGCATTCTATTTTATCTTTTAAATACTCCTCTGTGTTTCCTTTAGGGCAATTCACTTACCACCTTTACATCCAGTTTGTCAGTGAATTGCTTCCTTCTTTTCAAGCTCAGTTGGACACTCCTGGAATTCTGAGAATTGTAGTAGTCATCAGGGACAATCTGAACATTGTTGGGTCTGTTCATCCCTATAGTAATAACCGTATGAACTTCTCTGCACCTTTATTTTTTAGTTTGTGGCAGTTTTCGGACTTGGACTGCAAATCGTGCACTTGCTAGGTAGGCATCCTACCGCTTGTGCCACACCCTCAGCCTTGCAGGAACCTTTGAAGTAATTCTAATTAATTTATGCCCTCTAAAAGCGACTTGATTTCTACCTGCATGTTTCTGTTAGTATTGGGTGGTCCCTCTAGATTCATCCAATAAGTTTTCTTTTTTTTCAGAATTTCCAGAATAAATTCCATATTTACTTAGGAAACTGATGAATGCTCTCCAAAAAGATTTCTTCTCTTTTTGTTAGTACTGTACAGCTCTTCCCATTCCCGTGTTTTGCTCTGTTGTACTCTGCATACTCTGGCCAGCGGCCCGCATATTCTCTCCCACTGCAGCAATTGCGGTGCAATTCTACCGAATTTGGCAGAAAGAATCATTTCTTGATTAGTATCGGAGTGGAAAATGGTTTCTCAGCGAAGCAAAATTATCAAAGCTGTACTAGGCTTGTTTATAATGGTCTGTTATTTTCTCAGCCTATTCTAAGGGAAGCTGTTGAGGCTCTTGTTCACTAATGGGTGGGTTTGTTTTGGTGAGGTACCATGTGACTGCACCATCTGCCTTATACTTATTGGACCAGGGTGGGGTGCACCTTCCCCAAAGGCATCAAGTCCATGTTTCAGCAATGCAGAAACCTATGACTTGCAGAGCCTAGCTCAAAGCAACTGGAAGACAGCCAATCAGATCCATCTCTTAGGAATTTAGCATGAGGAAACAGACCTGCCCAGAGCAGTTAACCTTAGGGATATGTATCAAAAGATGTATGAAGAGTTGCTATTGTGTAGAGGAGGCTGACATGATCACTTAGAGGCATGTGCAAGCTAAAGCAGGCAAGGATCCCTGGAAGAGAGACAGCCAAATGAAGTAGCTAGCAGATAGGTACGAACAATCTGTTTTCTGTGCAGAAGGCAGGAAGTTCCTCCTCCTGGTTGAATTGCTGTGAATCTTAGTTGTATGCCACTACTGATTGCAAATTCCTAGGATCTTTATATATTCTTTTTAAAAAAATTTTTATTGGGAAAATACCATACAGAGGGGTTACAATTACGTGGGCAAGGTAATGAGTACATTTCTTATCAAGCATTGTTGCCTCCTCCTTTGTTTTCCCTTCTGCTTATGTGGCTCTGAGGAATCGAACCCAGGGCCCCATGCATGTAAGGCAAGCACTCTACCACTGAGCCACCTTCCCAGACCTATATATTCTTAAAATACAATATGCTACTGTTTTGTTCCTTTTGTGTGTGTGATTTCTGAAGCTAAACGTTTCCTCATTAAAGCAGATATGATAACTTCCCTATATAACTTCAGTGAATTTCTTCTTCATCAGCAGGAGGTCAGGAATATCTCTGATAAACCTTGTCATAGTCATTATGTATGACTATAAGAGCAAGAGTTTTATTTTTCTTGTTGTTTATTCAATTATTAACTTTTATTTTATTTAGTTATTTTTGTTGGTCGTGGGGCTTGAACTCTGGGCTTGGGCACTGTCCCTGTGCTCTTCAGCTCAAGGCAACCGCTCTCCAGCTTGAGCTGCAGCACCACTTCCGGTTTTCTAGCGGGGGGGGGGGGGGGGGGGGGGGAGTTATTGGAGATAGAGTCTCACGAACTTTCCTGTCCGGGCTGACTTCGAACCGTGGTCCTCAGATCTCAGCCTCCTGAGTAGCTAGGATTACAGGCGTGAGCCACCGGCGCCCGGTTTCAATTATTAGCTTTTAGTTGATGGCTTATTTAATTATTTGTTAGCTTTGCCAATGCCTGCTCTTCTTAGGTTGCCTCTTCATTTGATTTTTTGTTGTTGTTGTTGTTGTTGGTCATGGGGCCTGAACTCTGGGCCTGGGCGCTGTCCCTCAGCTCTTCAGCTCAAGGCTAACGCTCTACCACTGGAGCCACAGCACTGCTTTCGTTTTTTTCTGCTTATGTTGTGCTGAGGAATCGAACCCAGGGTCTCATGTATGCAAGGCAAGCACTCTACCACTGAGCTACCTTCCAAGTCCCTTTGTTTGATTTTTAAATATTTGGTCATTCTTTAAACTGCATTTACTCTTCATGTATTCACAAAATGATTGTAGATTGTTTGCATAGAAATAACCACTCACTTCTTATGTCTCACATATACTACTATTTAATCAGATATCTTGCAAACTTTTGTTAAGTAATGATTACACAAAGTATGTGGAACTACAGAAAATTCCCACAATTCTTAAAACCAATTGATATTAAAAAGCAATTTGTTTTACATATTCAGGGTGATTATTTGATGTACATATTTATTGTGCAATGATCACAAAAATCAAGTTAATACATCTATTGCTACCAATGCTTTACCTCATATCCTCAGAATTTTTTCATCTTCGAATGGAAAATTTCTACCATGTGTTTTACATCTCATTATTTACTGCACTCCTGGCTCTGGTAACCACCATTCCAGTCTCTGCTTCAAGAAATTTGTCCTTTTGTGGATTCCACATATAAATGAGATCATGAAGTATTTGTTTTTTGTTTTTTTCTGTTTTTTTTTTTTGGGGGGGGGGTCAGGTTGTGGGGCCTGAACTCTGGGCCTGGGTGCTGTCCCTCAGCTCTTCAGCTCAAGGCTAGTACTCTACCACTTGAGCCACAGCACCACTTCCTGCTTTTTTCTTTTTGCTTATATGGTGCTGAGGAATTGAACCCAGGGCCTCATGCATGCAAAGCAAGTGCTCTACCACTGAGCCACCTTCCCAGCCCCAGTATTTGTTTTTATAGCCACATTTTTTTCAGTTAACAAATATCTTTCAGGGCTGGAAAGGTGGCTCAGTGGTAGAGCACTTGCCTTGCATGCATGAGACCCTGGGTTCGATTCCTCAGCACCACATAAGCAAAAAGAAAAAAGCTGAAAGTGGCGCTGTGGCTCAAGTGGTAGAGCACTAGCCTTGAGCTGAAGAGCTGAGGGACAGCGCCTAGGCCCAGAGTTCAGGCCCCACAATCAGGCCCAAAAACAAAAAACAAAAAACAAATATCTTTCAGATTCATTCATGTTACCAGAAATGATAAGATTTTCTTCTTTTGTAAGGCCAAATATGATTCTATTGTATACCAATATCACATTTCTTTACCTATTCTTTCATTGAGTAGGTTAATATGAATAGTGCTCCAATAAGCTCGGAAGTACAATTATCTCTTCAACAAACTGAGTTTTTTTTTTTTTTTTTTTTATATATACCCAGAAATGGTTTGGCTGTGTCATATGGTAGTTGTTTTTTAAAAATTTTGAGAATATCATACTGTTGTCTCTATCTAAACTAATGTATATTTCCATCAACATTGAACACAGGTTTTCTTTTCTTCACATATTTGACAATATTGGTTATCTATTGTCTGTTTTTCCTCCCTTTCTTCCCTTCCTTTCCTCCTCTCCCTGCTCTCCCTTTCCTTCTCTCCTTCCTTTCTCTCTCTCTCTTTCTTTCTTTCTTTCTCTCTCTCTTTCTGTCTGTCTGTCTTTCTTTCTGTCTTTCTTCCCTTTCTTTCTCTCTCTCTCTCTTTCTTTCTTCCTTGTTTTTGTTTTGGAGAATATATATCCTAGGCTGGTTTGAACTCATAATACTGCCTCAACCTCACAGGTGCTGGGATAACAAGTATGTATTATATAATATTATTATATAATTATATAATAAAAGGTTTAAAGTGATACCTGGTTTTTTTTTTTTTTTTTGTCGGTCATGGGTCTTGAACTCTGGGCCTGGGCGCTGTCCCTCAGCTCTTCAGCTCAAGGCGAGCGCTCTACCACTTGAGCTACAGCGCCACTTCCGGTTTTCTGGTGGTTTATTGGAGATAGGAGTCTCAAGGTCTCTCCTGCCCGGGCTGGCTTTGAACCGTGATCCTCAGATCTCAGCCTCCTGAGTAGCTAGGATTACAGGCGTGAGCCACCAGCGCCCGGCTTGATACCTGGTTTTGATTTTGATTTGAATTTCTTTGATTAGTTGAGTGTGTATTTAATTTTATTATATGCCTGTTGGTAATTTGTATGCCTTTCTCTGGCAAAATGACTATTCATGCTCTTTCTTCACTGGACAGCAGTTTTGTTTTGTTTTTTTTTTTTCATCTGGGCCTGGGCTCTGTCCCTCAGCTCTTCAGCTCAAGGCTAGTGCTCTGCCATTTGAGCCATAACACCACTTCTGGTTTTCTGGTGGTTTATTGGAGATAAGAGTCTCAGGGCTTTCCTGCTCGGGCGAGCTTTGAGATCCTCAGATCTCAGCCCCCTCAGTAGCTAGGATTACAAGCATGAGCCACCAGTGTCTGGCTACAGCAATTTTTTTAAAAAAACTCTTTTCCTTATATATTTTGGATATCAATGCTTTATCAGATAGATAACTTGCAAGTATCATTGGAATGTTATGGAGATTGCATTGACACTTTAGAATGATTTGATTAACATAGCCATTTTGAATAACATTAATTTTGCCGATCTGTAAGATGGATGGCATTTCCATCAATTTCTTCATTTTTTTTTTGTCTGTTGTGAGGCTTGAACTCTGGGCCTGAGCACTGTCCCTCAACTCTTCAGCTCAAGACTAGCACTCTACCACTTGAGCCACAGCACTACTTCTGCTTTCCTGGTAGTTAATTGGAGACTAGAGTTTCACAGACTTTCCCATGATCCTTTAACCTCAGCCTCCTGAGTAGCTAGGATTACAGGTATGAGTCACTGGCACTCGGCTAATTTCGTCTATATTTTATAGTTTGTATTATAGATATTTCTTTCACCTCCTTGGTTATGTTATTTTTTGTTTAGATTTTAAATTATTGTGAGTGGACTTGTTTTATTGATTTCTTTTTGCTTGTTACTGGTATATAGAAGAGCTGTGTGTGTGTGTGTGTGTGTGTGTGTGTGTGTGTGTGTTATTTTTCTATCCTCCTACTTTGTGAAAAGTGTTAATTATATCAAAGAGCTTTCTGGTGAAGTGTTTAAGGTCTTTTAAATATGGGATCATACTATCTCAAAGTAAGGATAACTCAACTTATTTCCCTTCTATTTATTTCTCTTGCTTTATTTTTCTAATTACAAATTCAATGATTTCTGGATGGCAGTTGCTCAATAGCTCATCTAAAATCATTCTAATATTCGCAGCCATTTGAGAAAATTCTTTTGTGGTATGATTCTGTATATAAATTTATAACTTTCATAGGCATTCTTTTTCTTTTTCATTTATATTTGCTTCAAAAGTACTTGCTATGTTATTTCAAAATATAGCTACAATAACTCTTTCTGTCCTACAGTTCTATAGTGCTGTGACTTTGGCTATTTTCTTCTTGGCCTGTACTGATCATGTGATCTACTACGTCCCATGGAATGCAGGAGATCTGAGGATGTGAGACTTCTGTCCCTATGTTGTAAGAAATACTGGGGTTTTATTTCCCTTTTGGAAAAATCCTCAGTTTATAGACTACCAACTGCTAAGAGTAGACAAAGAATCTGAAGTGGAGACAAGTCACACGGAGGATTTCCACTAGGATTGGAACCTCACCTATAAGTATGCCATCTTGGACAAGCCATACCCTGTCTGGAAGTCTCATCCAATACTCCATGGACCAAGAACTCCATGTCTGTATAAATGTAGTTCAACTTCCTGATCTGCATAATTGTTGAGGTGTTTTAATTATTATTTTACCTAGACATATTTTATTAAATTTTTTTATTGTAAAGATATTGTACAGAGGGGTTACAGTTACACAAGTAAGTACATTTCCTATTGAGCATTGTTACCCCCTCCTTTGTTTTTCCCCTGCCATCCCTTCCCTCCCCACTCTCCAACTTCCCCCTCCCTCACCAAAGTTGTAAAGTTCATTTTTAACATAGTGTCTTGTACATCTCATTGCTACAATGGGTCAACTTGTATCCTTATTTCAGCATTTTGTTAATTCCCTTCCCTCCCCAAATTAGAAAAATGTATATACAAGATGCAGGGCACTGGATTCAAATACAGTGAAAACAGGGGTTATAACAAAAGAAACAAAAACAATCAAATAGTACATTATAAGTACATTAAAAACAACAGCAAGAAAGATAAAACCACTTGTGTCCCTATCTTGGGCTTCATTTTGCTTAGCACCATCTTATATGGTCATATGTACATAGCTTTTGACCTTTTCTGCTTGTCCTAGACTTATACTAGTTATTGCAAATAAGGGAAACCATTGGAGCTATGTTTCTTTGGGCCTGGCTTACTTCACTTAATATAATTTTCTTCAAGTCTTTCATTTCCTAACAAATGGGGCAATGTCATTCTTTCTGAAGGAGGCATAGAATTCCATTGTATATACACACACACACACACATATATATACTCCACATTTTCTTGATCCACTATTGAGGAGCATCTGGGTTGGGTTCATATCTTAGCTGTGGTGAATAATGCTGATAAACATAGTTGTGCTGATAGCTTTAGTAAGGCCTTGTTTGGGATCATTTGGGTAAATGCCCAAAAGTGGGATTGCTGGGTCATAAGGGAGTTCAATGTGTAGTCTTTTGAGGAACATCTTTACTGCTTTCTAAAGTGGTTGAACAAGTTTACACTCCCACCAACAATGCAGTAGGGTTCCCTTTTGGCCACCTCCCCGCCCAGCATCTGTTGTCATTAGATTTCTTGATTATTGTCATTCTAAGTGAGGTGAGGTGGAATCTCAATGTTGTTTTGATTTGCAGTTCTTTCATGGCTACAGAACTTGAGCATTTCTTCTTGGCCATTAGCTCTTGGCCATTCTTTCTTCCTCTACAGAGAAATCTCTCTTTAAGTTTTAGCCTACTTATTAATGGGGTGGTTGTTTCTTTGAGGATTTGTTTTTAGAGGGTTTAATTTTGTGAGTTCTAAGTATATTTTAGATATGAGACCCTTGACTGTTGTATGGCTAATGAAGGTCTTCTCCCAATCCATCGGCTTTCTATTGATCTTGCTAGCTGTCCTTTGCCATGCAGACACTCTGCAGTTTCATACAATTCCATTTGGCCAACTTTTCTTTGATTTGTTGTGTTTCTGGATCTTTATTAAGAAAATTTTGGCCTGTGCTAAGGAGTCCTAGAGTTTTTCCCATTCCTTCCTGTAATGTTTTCAGGGTGTCTGCTTTGACTTCAAGGTCTGTGATCCATTTGGATCCATTTTGATTCTGGTGCAAGGTGATAGATGAGGATCTAGCTTTAGTGTTCTACATGTGTTTAATCATTTTTCCCAGCATGATTTACTGAAGAGACTGTCTTTCTTCCATTCTATATTATTTAGCTCCCTTGTCGAAGATTAGGTGGACATAGATCTGTGGGTCCATTTCTGGGTCTTCAGTTCTATTCCATTGGTCCTCAGGTCTGTTCTTGTGCCAGAATCTAGCTGTTTTGATTATTATGGCTTTGCAGTAGAGTTTAAAATTTGGTATTGATGCTCCTCCAGCACTGTTCTTTCTGCAAAGGATTGTTTTTGCTATTTTATAAAAATTTTCGGGTTGCTTCTCTATCATTGAAGAATGAGGTTGGGATATTGATGGGTATTGCATTGAATTTGTAGATAGCCTTTAACACTATTATCATTTTCACAATGTTAATCTTCCCAATCCAGGAGCATGGGAGGTTTTTCCACTTCCTTGGTTCTGTTTTAATTTCCTTTTTCAGGTTTTTAAAGTTTTCATCATAGAGGTCTTTCATTTCTTTGTTAATTTAACTCCTAGGTATTTTATTTTTGTGAGACTATTCAGTTGCGCTTTTCTAGTTATTGACACACAGAAAAGTCATTGATTTTTGAAGGTTACTTTTATACCCTGCTAGTTTGCTGAAGTATTGAATCAATGAGTAACTTGGGAGTGCAGTCCATGGGGTTCTTTAAATACAAGATCATGTCATCTGCAAAGAGGGAGAGTTTTACTTCATCTTTCCCTATTTGCATCCCCTTTATGTTTGCATCTTGTCTTATTGCTGTAGCTAGGCATTCTAATACTAAATTGAAGAGAAGTGGAGAGAGTGGACATCCTTGTCTCATTCCTGAGTTTAGATGAAATGGCTTTAGCTTTTCACCATTAAGTATAATGCTGGCTGTAGCTGTGTCATACACAGCCTTTATTATATTGAGAAATGTTCCATGGATTCCTAGTTCTTCCAAAGCTTTCATCAAAAAGGGGTGTTGGATCTTGTCAAATGCTTTTTCTGCATCCATTGAGATAATCATGAGGTTCTTATCCTTGCTTTTGTTGATGTGATGAATTATATTAATTAATTTGCATATATTGAGCCAGCTTTGCAACCCTGAAATGAATCCTGTTTGATCATGGTGTATAATTTTTTTTGATGAGTTGTTAAAGTTGATCAGCCAAAATTGTGTTGAGAGTTTTGCATCGATGTTCATCAAAGAAATGGGTCTATAGTTCTCTTTTTTTGATGAATCCCTGCCTGGTTTTGGGATAAGTGTTATGATGGCTTCATAGAAAGAGTTTAGTAGTGAACTTTCACTTTCAATTTCATTGAAGTGTTGGAGGAGTATTGGCATGAGTTCTGCTTTGAAGGCCTTGTAGAATTCAGCTGTACATCTATTTGGTCCTGGGCTTTTCTTGGGTGGGAAATCTTTCTAGTTTGATGCTTGATATGGGTCTACTAAGTTGGTTTAAATCATCTTGGTTTAGTTTGGGCATGTCAATATTTGCCAGAAATCCATTCATTTCTTCTAGATTCTCAAATTTGTTAGTATAAAGGTTTAAGAAGTATTCTCTTGTAATGTTCTGAATCTTGGTTTTTTCTGTGGTGATGTTTCCATTCTCATCTCTGAGTTTATTTGGGTGTGTTCTCTTTTTTTTTCTGATAAGATTTGCTAAGGGTCTGTCAATTTTTGTTAATTTTTTTCGAAGAATCAACTCTTTGTTTGTTGATTCTTTGTATTTTTGGACTCTAATTCATTTAATTCTGATTTAATTTTAATTATTTGTTTCCATCTACTGGATTGGCATTTTTCTCATATTTCTCTGGCTTGTTCTGCTCATTTGGTATGAAAGCAAAACCAATTTTGTGCTAGAACACTATTTTAAGGCAAACATCAATCAGAGCCCTGTACTTGCACAAATTTTTTGATGCAGTCAGAATAAGTACAGATACAATCTAGTTCAACAGATACAATCTAGTTCAACAACAAACAACTAGGGATCAATGGATTAAGAAAATCTAAGAAGGAGTCAGCTGACCAGTAATTAATAGGTTTAGGAGAAGTTTGTGAGGAGAAAATAAGATTAGAGAAATGTGGGGAGGGAACGGGAGAGAGGAAATATAACCAAGACCTAAATGCAGAGAGAAGGAAAGGATAGAAGGAAAGGAGAAGAGAGATACAGAAAAAGGAAAATGTAAAATAAGAAATTTAAAAAAGAAACACTTAAAAATGATATATGTATAAAGAAATAATACTACAATTAAAGGAGTTAAGCCTGAGAGTTTGTGAACTGAGTAATCGATATCTGAATAAAGTATGCACACCATGAAAGATAAGGTCTAATAGTCGAAGACAGGTATATAACTGGGGATGAACAGAACAGCAATTACTTAAAGCAAAGAACCCCAAAGAGGTCTAATAGGGAAAAGAGTAAGAAGAGATTAAAAAAAAAACATAAAATAAAAATGATGGAAAAAAAAGAAAAAAAATTTTTTAAAAATTTTAAAAAAGGTAGTAAAAAGAGTTCTTCAATTTTTTTTTTTGGGGGGGTGGGATGATCTTGTGTCTCCTCTGTGTCTGTAACCTGTCTCTTGGTGGAGTCCCTGGTTTGCTTGTGGTATTTGGTTTTCCTGCAGCTTGACTGGTTTCTTAAATCAGCAATCCCACTTTTGGGCATTTACCCAAATGTTTACAAACAAGACCACACTAAAGCTACCAGCACAACTATGTTTATTGCAGCATTATTTACCATAGCTAAGATATGGAATCAGCCCAGATGCCCCTCAGTAGATGAATGGATCAAGAAAATGTGGTATATATACACAAAGAATTGTATGCCTCCATCAGAAAGAATGACATTGCTCCATTTGTTAGAAAATGGAAAAACTTGGAAAACATTATATTAAGTGAAGTAAGCCAGGCCCAAAGAAACATAGGTCCCATGGTTTCCCTTATTTGCAATATCTAGTATATGTGTGAGTCAAGCGGAAAAGGTCAGATAATGTGATGTTAGGAAAATGAACCCTTAGATATGTATTTTAATGTTTTTTTCCTTTCATGCATTTGTTTCCAACACATTTATAAGATTATCTCTTTGTAGCTTTGTATGTCCCTCCCCCACAGTATAACCCCTGCTTTCACTATATTTGATGTCAGTATAACTTGTAGAGGAGATGGGGAAAAACAAGTTGTTTAAGGATACAGGTGGACCTGTTGCAACAATGATAGGTACAAATGATAGGTACAAGTTGTCATGTCGAAAACGAGCTTTACAATGTTGGTGCAGGGCGGGGGGGGGGGGGGAGGCAGGGAGGATTGGGTGGGGGGGTGGGGGGGCTGGGAAGGGATGTGAAGGGTAAACAAAGGAGGAGGCTGCAATACTTGATAAGAAATGTACGCATTAACCTGCCCATGTAATTGTAACCCCTCTGTACAGTGTGTTCACACACACAAAAAAAATCAGTTTGTTTGAGCAAGCAGAACAAAGCTTTTTATGACCCTCTTCCCAGGCTAGTTCAGTGGGAGGGCAATCTGCTTTGAGTATCACAAAAGAGGGAGATGGCTGTTTCTTCTAGCTTGGAGTTGCTGTGATGGGGCTAGATTGAGGGTAAGGTTGAGGCCTGTCAGCAATCAGTAACTTTTCCCTGAGGGACTAGCTCCTGAGACACTCACACACCCAGCCTGGAGCTATTCTCAGGATTTTTGTGTATTGAGTTCCCAATTGTTTTTCTTCTACCCTCCTGCAGCTAGGTCTGCTGCCTGTGCTGCAGTGGGGTGGGACATCCTCTGGCTCTGTTTACCCAGTGAAGAAAGTCACTCCTCCATGGGTGGAGCTTTCTCTGCCGGTAAGGACAACTTTCTCCTGGGTGGATCTGAACCTGTTAGGTCAGGATCTTGTTGAATAGCTCCTATTGTCTTTGTCCAAGGCCTGAGTTATGTGTAGCTGCTCAGTATCAAAGATGGAGTTTTTCTCCATTGGTTGGGAAGAGGTTCCCTTCCCACAGCTGCTGCCCAGCGAGGAGGAGTGAGGATGTTTTGTGGAGTACTCATGCCTTTCCCTTGGTTTCTGGGCCATCTATGGTCTGTGACTGTCTGTGGTCAGCAGGATGAAGATTTCTGCTCTTTGTCAGTTCTTGCTGGCATTGAGTAGAATCCGTTTGCACACCGTCTCTGGCGCCTTTATCCCAAGCTCTCTCAGTTGATATGGCTGCTTCAGCAGACACTGGCGAGTACTCAAATCTGTCTTCTTAACCAAACTGCCTGAATTTTCCTCTCTGGCCAAACTCTCTGTACTATGATGCTACACTTGGTGTGATTTTCTAACCTTGGATTTTTTTTTCTTTTTTTTTTTTTTTTTATTGTAAAGCTACTATACAGAGGGTTACAGTTACATGAGTGAGGTTATGAGTACACTTCCTCTTGAACATTGTTACCCCCTCCATTGTTTTCCCCCTAGCATCCCCTCCCTCCTTCCCTTCCCCGAGGTTCTTTTTTTTTTTTTTTTTGATTGTGATTAAATGATTACATAATTTCAAAGTCACAAGTTCATTCTAACTTCCCTGGAGCAAATTGTCTACCACAGTCTGTAATATATAACAGTGTTCACATGTTATATACCATATTTGTGATCAGCAGCATGAGGATATTTAGTAGTGG